TCCTCTCTGTCTTGGATGAAACTGGATCGGGCAGGGTGGACTTGGGCATGTTTATGCTGTTCTTGCCCCCATTTGTAATGGACCCCTGGATAAACGAAAAGGATTGCCTTTGATGCACTGTTATGGCGGCCAGTAAATGAAGGTGGTTCCCAGATTAGAAAGGTGGATGCTGTACGGTACATCAAAATGTTGAGGGCTATTTATATTCCTTCTCATGGAATTAGTGAAATGCTGGAAGTTCATGGAGAAACGGATTCCTCGATGGTGTCGTACAGTGAATTTCTTGCCATGTTTGATGATCCAGATGGGATTTGGTATAATGTCCACTCTGTTGAAGTTAGAAACCGGAGATAGGAACCGTCATGGGCGCCAGGTTTGCTCGGTTTGCCGTTACCCAGTCATTGGTTCTCGGTTTAAGGAAGTGAAGTCTCATTTCAGTCTATGTAATCAATGCTACAGTGAGGGCAAAGTTCCCCCTAGCTTCAAACAGGATGAATATAAATTCAAAGAGTACGGAAGTGAAGCCGAAGCGATGAAAGATAAGTGCATGTGCTTTACTTTGCAATCTCACAAAGCTCCATAACTAGTCGGTTTAAAGTCTTGGCTAATCAATCATGTACCATTCCATTGTGTTATTTTTAGTCGTCCAGTGTGCATTGTGCAATATATAGTTCATCAAACGTGTTCAGTGAGCAATCATGCTCGTGTTCAATAAACCGTTTTTGAGTGATGGCTCTGATATATCCCGGTTTCTTAACAGTTGTGGTAGAGATCATTCTTTTACTTTCTGTTTTCGGTGAAAAGAAAAAAAAGAATTCGAGATGGTGTATATACATTCACTGTATCATCATCTCTTGCTTTTGTTTCTGGAAATGTTGAATTTGTTTGGAGATATATTCACTGTTGGATGAAGAAAGAAATGGTTATTCTTTTTAGTTATAGTTATTGCCTACTTGATTAGTACTGTTCTGAGAGTTAATGCAGGTAATTGCAGGGCCAGCAATTAAAAACAATTTCAATGCTTTATCTTTAAGAAAGAGAGAAATCATACTTTCCTGGAATTGCTGCAACTCAATGCTTTAATAACTTGAATCATACATAAGAACTAGAACATGTCGAAATTCGGGTTCCGGAGACTGCATAGATCAATCAACCGTGGTAAACCTTAGATTCCCATGGTTGGTTTCTTTTACTTGGTATGCTTTGTGACAAGGATAGTGGTTGTGAAAGTTGGGACTTGGTTGGCACCAACATTAGCTGGGACTTGCTGGATTGCAGGTAATATGATTGACCTATCTAGATTTACAGAGTTTTTGGGAGTTCTAAACCCAAATTTTCTCCCTCTGATTTCTATTCTGAACTGTGTTTCCATGATTGAATGCAAGGTCAAACAAAACACTTACCTCTTTCTTTGAATGATCATGATCAATAAGCAAATATCTGCATCAATCATAACGAGGTAGCTGCTGCGGAGGGAAAAAGATACTGATTGCAAGGGGCCACATAGACAAGTTCAACATTGAAGCCATCCAATTGGCCATTCATGAAAACTCCATTGTCATAAAATAGCACTAGCTGCATAACTAGCAGCAATGCCACCATTCAACTCAAAACTCCATGAATAATCCCCAGGAGAACGTAACGAGACAGAGACTTTGTGCCTTTCTGAAGCCTAAAGAAAGACGACACATTTTGGGGAGGTTGCATTTAAGGAAAATGTGGCCACCTGAAATATGGGACGCTTCTTCAACTCCGGCAGATTAATTATCTCAGTTGTAAAGGGCGAGTATAAAACACAATCTTCTTTGAGCTCCTAAATCTAACTTCGCCTATCAATCATCTCCACAATAGCATGACCTTGTAGTGAGTTGGAGCTTTTATTAACAATTTTCACTACTTCGGCATTGTCTATCTCTACTTCAAGTTTTCGGATATTAAATCTTCGAACGCTATAGATAACTTCGTATATCTCCCATAGTTCAGCTAGAAGAACCGAGCAACTTCCCAAATTCTTTGTAAATCCAAAATTCTAATTTCTGTGTCGTCTCTCAAAGGTGTTGTTTAGGTTACAATCTTCAAATGAGTGAAGAGGATAAAGCATGCGCTGTCGTAGCGTTGGACATTGAAAGCAATAGGGATGAAGCATCCCTAAAACATAAAGAATAGATCAATTCCAATTGATATGCCTGAGCACCATACTCTGCCTACACAATTCGAGCAGGATATTTCTTTATACTGACCACATTAACCATGCAGATTTCAATATTTGATGCTCGGGTGAGCAGACTCAGTTAAGAAATTAAAAGAAGCAAAAGTAAAAAGATTTATGTAATTATAGGGACAGACGTATGATTTTATGATAAGAAAAAAAAAACTTATAATATTTTAAGAGAAGTCAAACTCTCAAATTTTAAGAGAAGAATAATATATTTTCGATAGAAAATACAAAATTATCTAATATATATTTATAACTTTAAGGGAACATTATCCTCCATCTACTTTCCCTTCTATCCATCCCTAGCGTCAAGCAATACTGCAACCTTCCCAAATTACTCTATACAAAATAGGATCCAATTCAGGTTTGTTTTCGAACATCTTGTGTACGTTTATTAAACAAAGGTTTGGTCTTACTGTTTGGAGGGATTAAATTGAAATTGATTTTGGGGGAGTTTGATAATATGGATCAAATTTATGAATTTTTGTAATAGATTCATTCCAATTTTGCAGAAGTGGCATGGAAGATCAGCTGTTAGCTGAGCTGATACTGTATATGTAAAACGGTCCATGAAACTTCACGACAACCACAAAACGTTGAAAGCTTTTAGTTCAATTTATTATATACCTCCAATTGTGGCGATAAGAGAGGAACATGGTCGGACAACTAATATGACCCAACCTCGCACATGCCTGCTTTTTGTGCTACACTCTCCAACCCTCTACCCGCACCTCTGCCAATATTATATACATATAAATGAGTATAATGAAAATGAATGGGTGTGACCGCAGTAGATGATGCAATTTTTATAAGAAAAAAATGAGTTAGTTTCCATTGATCAAGCAATTTTAAAAATATGTAAAAATAAGAAATTTACGTCCGACGTAAATGAATTTTATTTATTTATCTATCTATTTATCATGGGATGGAGCCATATAATGCTTGGAAGGAGTTCTTATCCCCTCAATTTTCTTTCTCAAGTGACAATTTAGGTCCCTATTACTTAAAATATTGATCAAAATAAGTTTTGTTCTCTCTAATTTTTAAGTTTAAATCCTTACTAGGTATTTGTTCTTTTGAATCTAAACAAGTTAATCTCTCCAATATTTAATCTTAGTTTTCGCACTCAAATCTATATATATAAATATTGAACGTTAAACACGGTTAAATGGGTGACTTTCTATATATTTTAATAGTAATGATATTCATGGAAATATATATATATATAAATTGTGCGAGTAATATATATGTGTATTAATATATATGCGACTGATTTACATGCAAAGCTTCTTCCTACATATTAGGAAGAATTTTTTTCATTAATTCTTAAGTTATAACATGTTTAGAACATACCTGTAAACTTATAATTTGCTACCTAATATAATAATTGAGATTTGGTTCCAATTTCATATGATATGATAACGCAATAAAATTATGAATGAAACTATTAAGGTCTATATTATCATTTTAGTCCCTCTACGCTGATAAAGTTTCATATTTATTATCTATACTTTAATTTAATATTGTTAATGATGTATAAATTAAAGGTTTAATTTTGAATAATTTTTTTCTTATAAAAAGGCTTCCAAAAACCTATCATAAATGTCAACTAAACTCATATTTAATAACCTTTATAGCATATTTTAATTTCTTTTAATTGCAACACTAATACTAAATTAAATCTAAATTGTAATATTTTTTAATAAAAATAAATAAAACATTAAATTGTTATGAATAAAACAAATGGTACTGCGTCAATTCCTCGGCCAAGGCGTAAAAAAAAACATAAAAAGAGCAGGCCATCCACTAAAACAGTGGTGAACCGTCAGATCGATTTAATTGGCCGTTGACCGAGTCCAATTTCAATGGACGATACCGTCGAGTCCTGATTTATATTAAGTGGTCCATAACTTGTATGATGATAAGTAGGATGGCAAACGGGCGGATCGGGTGTGGATACCCCTTTCCCATCTCTATATCCACCTAATATTTTTAAATCTATCACCCGTCCACCACTCATGATGAGTACAAATTTTTAAATCCACACCCGTCCATGTGGGTACATTCTCAAATCTATCCTCACACCCACTACCCACTAGTGACGTACCAGTCTAGACCCGCCTAAAAGCAAACTTAAATTATATATAAGCAACAAACATAAAAAAACATGTCTACTACGAAACATAATAAAATAATCCAAGGATTATCTAAGTTAAGTGTTAATATAGATCTTAAAGTACGTAAAATACCATAATAAAAGACATAATTAAAGTTTAGAAACATAAATATCAAAGACATAATGTTTTTATTCTTTGACATAACATTTTAAAATTTTAGGCAATACTTATGACATCTGATACTCCAGTATTACAATCATCAATTTCTATTTCCTCTAATTGATATTGCTCTAATTTAAATCCACTACTACTTACATATATAATAGAAAGTGGGCGGGCGGGCAGATATTTAGCTGGACGGGAGGATGTGGGGCGGGCGATGCGGGGTAGATAAAATCTCAAACCCATTACCCACGACGGGTATCACTTTCTAAATCCACACCCGCTCACTACCCGCTAAATTTATACTCATCCTTACTCCAATTAGAACGGATACGATACATAATTCACGAAACTGTACCTGTTTGCCATCCCTAATGATTAGGAAATAGTTGAACTAAAAAATTGAAGAAATAAAAGTGAAAAGAAAACATTAATGCAATAAATAAAGAGCAACCATCACTTTACCCCTTTATTACCCCCTTAGTCCCTTCACAGAAATATAAACCCAAGAGAGAGCTGAATCTCCTCTTCTATTTTATCATTATGGCTCTACTAGCTTCCTTGCCGGAGCCGATGAAACAACTGCCGAATCGGCGGAGGAAACAAGAGAAAACCCAAAAACAACCCACGTCTTCCTGGGACCAAATCAAGAACTTGCTCACCTGCAAACAGGTGGAAGGGTCGAAAGTTCACGACCCTTCGAAGAACTCGGCGGATCCTAATAATCGAAAAGGGTACTCGAAGCTCAGTTCCTCTTGTAGCTCTATATGCAGCTTCAAGGACGTTGTTCATGGCAACACGAGGGTCGTTCACCGAGCTGATAACTCGCCCGAGAGTAGCACGGTGGGTCAAGAAACCGCGCTGCTGAGACGCAAAGCTGCGAATGGCTCATCGTCTCGGTCGTTGTCGGGGTCAACAAGATCCGATAACAACAGCTCCAGGTGCACGAAGACGACGTCTTCTTCCAGAGCTATGCAACTTAGGAAGCTTTCTGGGTGTTATGAATGTCATACGATCGTTGACCCCAGCAGGTATATTATTATTTTTACCATCTATATATATAATTTGGTTTTTTATTCTTTATTTTCCAGAATAAAATTATGAAAATTTTCAGGTTTCCATCGTCAAGAACAACTATCTGTGCCTGCTCACAATGCGGTGAGGTCTTCCCAAAAATCGAAAGCTTGGAGCTTCATCAAGCTGTTCGCCATGCAGGTACACCAAATTCTTAGAGGTTTCATTTGTAATTTTCCACTAGTCATTTTTTTCAGTTAATTTAATGGGTAAAGTACATAAATGGTCTTTTACTATAGGGTGTTACTTGGTTAAGTTCCCAAATAATTAAAAGTTACAAAATGATCTATTGACTATAGATGTTACTTTGTTGAGTCTTTATACTATTAAAAGTTATAAAATAGTTACTTGACTATTCATATATTCCAAACTCGTTTTTTCATTAAAAATTTGACAATCGTATAAGCTTGACATTAACATGTTTCTGGTGATATGATAAAATTTTATCTAAAAATCATTTTAATTGTATAGTCATTTGAGATTTCGAGACTAAATTTTACCATATTTCAATAATTATATTAATGTTTAGCTCAGACGACCATCAATATTTTAACAAAAAATGTCAAATTTAAAACATATAAAAATATTGTTTTATGATTCATAATAATTAGATAACTCAACAAAATAATATCTTATAATTAGGTTAACATTTGTATATTTTGGCCTAGTTTAATTTACATATGCTTTTAAGAAATTGTCCCTAACCTTTTCATTTGCCGTTAAATTTGCCCCATCACCAACATATTTACATATGTTTATATAAAATATCACAGCTGTTACATTTGATTAATATAATCAACATATGACGTGGCATGTTTTATTAGTGCATATCGTAATGCTAAATTTGCATGGTTTGTGAGGACCATGCCCCACCGACAAGTCAAATTAGTGTTTCCCCATCAATGCGAAATCTTCATTTAATTTTGATCCGAGTCTTTTTGTTTTGTTGGTGTAGTTTCGGAGTTGGGGCCAGAAGATTCGGGTCGGAACATTGTGGAAATCATTTTCAAATCCAGCTGGCTAAAGAAGGACAATCCGATCTGTAAGATCGAACGGATATTAAAAGTTCACAACACCAAGCACACCATCCAACGGTTCGAGGACTGTCGCGATGCGATGAAAACGCGCGCTCTTAACAGCACCAGAAAGAACCCACGGTGCGCGGCCGACGGCAACGAACTCCTCCGATTCCATTGCACAACCCTGTCGTGTTCCCTCGGCGAGCGTGGCTCGTCCAGCTTGTGCGGCTCCATCCCGGGTTGCGGCGTCTGCACCATAATCAGACAAGGGTTCCAAAACAAAGCTGATGGAGGAGGAGGGGCAGCGCCAGCCGCAGAATTCAATGGAGTCCGCACTACGGCAAGTAGCGGTAGGGCCCACGACTCCATTAAGTGTACGGACGGTCGTAGGGCCATGTTGGTTTGCCGTGTGATTGCCGGGAGGGTGCAGCGAGTGACGGATGACGCGCCGTCGTTGGAGGATGATAATAATAGCACCGGCGGCGGCGTATCTTCTTCGGCTGGCTTGTACGATTCTGTAGCGGCGTTTGCCGGGGTTTACTCCAATCTGGAAGAGTTAGTTGTGTTTAATCCGAGGGCTATCCTCCCTTGTTTCGTAGTCATTTACAAAGCACTTGAATCTTGACTGAGTCATCATTTTCATAGAATTAGTCTAACCAAACCACTCTCCTTAACCGTCTACATAAATTTTGATCTACGCTGAGATCAAACCCTGTCTTCTTTTTTGGTTTTGGAATTGAATTTTTCTAATGATTTTTGCTCAACCGCATGCGTGGCAACTCACATCTCTTGCGCCATATTAAATATTTGATGCTTACACCCAACATTAATTTAATTAATCTTTGTTTTTCAAGATAAATTAAAGACACTGAAATCCTTGATTGCTCGGTTCCGATGAACCGACACAAACCGTGTGTAAAGGCAAGTTTCTTCTTCCATTCAATTCTCACCTTTCACTCTCTTAATTCACTTACCTACACAGTACACACACTGCTTTATTTATTTATGTGCTAGTGGTACCAAAAAAACTTGGTTAAACTACGTATTAGACACACCAATTTCTGTAGTTTCATTTTGGTCACTAAATTACTTTTTCAAAATAATATATAATGTTTTGTTTTGGTCAATCGTCATTAAAAAATAACTAAAATTGTTGATATGATAATTTTTTTTCAATCATGACATAGTATTACTTTAAGGTGATATATTAATATCATTGTTAATTTTTAATGGTAATTGATTGAAACCAAACCCAAACATAACGTTAATTATGATTTAAAAAAGATAATTAAGTGATCAATGATTGATCTAAAAATATTTTTTAGGCATATGTTAACAACATAAAATTTTTAAATATCGTGGACACAAATAAAATTTCAAGATGGATATCATTAATAAAATAAATAGTAGTTCAAAAAAATCAAATTTCAGAGTAAGTACTTGCCGACCTTCAGATGCATGTGAATCCGTCACCACGAGTGATCAAAACGAAATTGTAGGAATAGATGAGTACCTAAATATTAAGTTTACCCAAAAAAATATGTGTTTGAAGTCAGACTTACAGCAGCAGTAATTAAGACCCACGTGATATTATCTGGGAATAATTGCAAATTTAGAGCATGGCAACTAAACCCCAGGGATGAACCACTTATGATTATTGCAGTCACATGCTCATTCACTGCTTTCTTCTTGTTTTAAGTGTTTGGAATTTATATTTTTGTAATTTTCACAGTTACTCTGTTCCCCAAACCCCTAAACACTTAATTAATTACTGTAATCTCTGTCGAGATTACTGAAAATCTTGCACGTCTGAACTATATTTTAATTTTTAGGGTCATCGTGTAAATTTCCCGCGGTCAAAATCAAATTTAGGGACTGTTTGTTTACTTCAGAATGATTAAGCGCTAAATGATTCAAATATTGAATGATTCAAATGCTGAATGACTCAGAGGCTCTGTATGAATTAGCTCTGAATGTGACATGTTGTTTGATAATGGCTCTGAATCATTCAGAACGTACTTCTGTGTTGAATCATTCAGCATTGTTTTGCTGAATAAGTCAGCACTAAATCATTTAGAGGTACGAAACAAACGCGCTGAATGTTGAACGGTTCAACATTCAACGCTGAATGATTCTATTAAGAGGCAAACAAACAACCCTTAGTTTGAATCTGAAAGTTATTATCAACCATAATGTATTTAAGCGACAGTTTAATGACTGGGCATGGTTAATTGTAATCAAAGTTGTTGATGAAACATTAATTTGAGGACATAAGTCGTTAAGATAGAATTAGTAATTAATGGGAGCATAGTCTAATTCTAGTTTTGGTTTAGGTTCTACAAATGATATAATTGTGAAGCAGGTAAGCAACCTTATGGTTTAGAAATATTTCTCAACTAATATATAATAGAAAAAATAATAAAATAACGTCAATGAATTAATTTATTCAAGATGGCTAAGTAGTTGAAGATGGAAAGCAGAGTGAAGAAGTTTGTTGCTTAACTAATTTTAAGTTCTTGCGTGATGTAGCAGGTATGTGTCTGATAGGTTTATCAATTAATATCGAATTATCTATTGCATTTAAACCAGAGGTTTGGGACAAAGATAGATCAAGGGGGCCGGCGGTAGTGATTGTAAAATCAGGAAATCGTACAAGTTTTAAGTCTGATTATATTAAGGCAGGTTAAATCGGATATGAATTATATTAGGTAAATTTAACAGTTTGACTCTAGTCCAATCAAATTTGGATTGACTCTGATTCGTAATTATCAAGTTGATTTTAAATTAGATTCAGTTCGTGTTCCGGTCGGGTCAATATCAATTCTAGTTAAAATGTTCAAGTATGAATTAGTTAATATCGTGTTAATTCAGTTCGGATGGACTTTGGGTCAAGTCTCATTCAAATCGAGTCACATTGTTAACGAATAAAATTCATGTCGGGTAATATAAATTTTATATGAGCTTTAAATTGGATTTTACGAGTACAAATAGACTTCAAATCAAGTCATTTCAATTGAATTATACGCCTTTCACGAATGATCTAATTTATGTATATATATATATTATATATATATATATATATATGTGTGTCATAGGCTATAGCTATATAATTTAGATTTTATTATATAATTTATGGGGTTTGGAGTTTATGATATAATTTATAAGGTTTGAATTAAATTAAAAAAAAATAAAAAATATGGGCCAATTTCATATGAAATATAATTTTCGAAACAAAAATATCACCATGTTAAAATTATTAGATCAAATTATAAAAAATTCAAAATAAATAAGGATCATTTATAATTACTTATGTATCTTAAATGGTAAAAATTATTGTATCACATTATAATATCACAAATTCATAATCTCTAAAATCTCAACTATTAACAGGGGGAGGCTAAAGGGTTTGATCAATTTCCTAGATCCCAATCATTTCAATAGACTAATTGGGCTCCCAACAGCAGTAACTTTGAGCCGAAGAAGGCACATTGCTTCTAATCGGGTTTTTATGTAAATAAAACCAGTTAATTTATTTAGATATCTAAATTATAATGAATTTTTTAATAAATTTAGGATTAAAAAAATAATATTTTTTAAATACTTTAAATTATTTAACAATATTTCATATTCTTAATAATTGTAGTGTTCAAACCTAATACATCAATATTTGATAATAAGTCTTTTTCCACAACCTACATTTAAAGAAGTTTTTTTAACGAGGTTCACGTCTTTGACTATGTTGTATTCCTTCATTACTATAAATATAACCATTCCTTTAAAAAAAATCTTTAACCATCAAGATTACTTGATTCGTGCAAAAACATAATAAATATTTACAATTATAAATATGAACTAAACACATTTAATATCAATTACGAAAATTGTCCTCCGAAAGTTTCTTATCGAAGATAAATGATGAGAATTTTCATGCGATAAAAATTTTATTTGGTATATGTTTCAATCATGAATGTTAGTATTATTTTCTTTATCAAGTGAAGAGTTTTATTGATTAAATTAAAGTAAAAATCAATTAACAAGCTCAAAAATAATACGAGTACAAAAGAAAGATGATTTCAAAAAAAAATCAAACTATAAGGGTGAAATAAAATACAACAAAAATGGAAGAAAAAAACATCAATAGAAGAGAAACAACTAACAAACCCAAAATAGAAAAAAAAAAACGACATTAAAACTTCATGGAAGGAAGAACTCAATTGAAGCACGTCTACCATTGGGAAGGAGTAAGGCCTCCCCAAGTTAAAGGATTGAGGAACATTTAATAATATTTGAAAGGACTTAATTGACTTTTCCAAAAAAATTATATTCATAATCATTGAATTATTAATAGAAGTACATGAACCCATTAAGTGATCTCAATGGTTAAATAAATATTGTTTCTCTTAGATATTTTAGGTTCGAGCAGTTACATGTACAAAGTTTGTATGTTGTAAATACTAAAAAGATTATGAATGGATACTACCTTATAATCAATTCGTACAAAAAATTATCAAAACCGTTTAATAATTAATACAATAATATAATTAAGCTTTAATATTTTCTGAAACTTATGTTGTTGGTGGAATTGAGGGTTTGCAAGAGCCTTGTCAAACTGATGGAGAAGGACTGGATAATTGGGTGAATTCTCAGGCGGATGAGTTGGTTGTGGACTTGGTTAATGATGCTACTGTTGTCAATGAGGGGTTTGCTAAGCCTACTGCAGTGGATTTTCCTCCTTTGCAAGCTTCCTCTCAGAAAAAGAAGATCAATAATAAAGCTAAAAAGTAGTTTGTTAGCTATTCTAATCGTGTTGAAAACATTTTGATGTTTCGATATAACAAATTAAGTATAAATGAATTTTAAGATTTTACAAATGATTTTCTAAGTATATTCGATTTAATTACTCGAATATCAAAATATTACTTCAAGTCTTTCAAAGATCAATTTCAATCCTTACTTAAGTGTAAAATTGTGTTTTAATCTTAAAATATTTTTGAAACAATTTTCACAAAGTATTTCAAACCAAAACGAGCCTAAAATCAATTTTTCAGATGCACCAAAATCGATGCACCATTGAATAAATTGAACATCGAATGCATTATATGCATCGACGCACTCAGGTTTTTATGAAAATATCGAATGCATTTGATGCATCGATGCACAAGCCATGCATCGATGCACTCTTAGTGCACCGATGCACTAAGGGTCCAACGGTCGAAATATTTGAATTTTACACATAGTGTACCGATGCACTAGGCTTATGCATCGATGCACCAGACGCTCCCAATTGTTTTATTAATTATTTTCACACTTAAACGGTTCTATTGACTCCACTAATCATCCTCAACGTTCAGAATCAATTGAAGGAGTATTTAAACAAGCTTAGAAGCCATTGATCAACAACAAGAAACAACAAGAATCAAGAATTAAGAGAGAATCAAAGAAAAAACATCAAACCTCAAGTTTGAGCATTTCAAGCCTATTTTTCATTCAATATTCATTTTGCTTTCAAGAAGACTGCTTGTACTCAATTGTATTCATTTTTAGTGTTATTTTCTTTATTCTAGAATTGTGCAAACAATCTACCTTGTGAGAATTTCCTTGTAAGTTTACAAATTTGTAATCTTCTCTTTGAGAAAGAGTGTTATCAAGAATTGGGGTATATTCTTGAGAGAGTTGTAAGGTTATCTATTTG